GAGGGGAGGTCCTCGACTTCACACGGGCCAGGGCCTTCCTCCTGGAGACCCGTTTCTGAGCCATGACAGACCTAATCTGTCATGTAAGGGCCCACCCACTCACCATCGTTCACATGTGCCTGAGGCTGTTAGGCCACATGGTGGCATGTACTTACGTGGTCCGTCATGCCCAGCTCCATCTCCATCTCCGGCCGCTGCAAGCTACATCCCCGACAGGCACGATCTAGACTGGGTAGTCAGGGTGCCAGATCACATATGGTCATCCCTGGAATGGTCGTTAGACTCCAGATCAGTGTTGGAGGGAGTTCCCTTTGTGGCTCCATCCCCGTCTCTGAACCTGGTCTCCGATGCCTTGGACCTGGGCTGGGAGTCCACTTGGGCGAGCACAGCATACAAGGCCACTGGTCGCGGGACGATTGCTCCGTCCACGTAAATGTCAGGGAGCTCAAAGTGGTTCGCTTGGCCTTCCAGGCTTTCCTGCCCCACCTGGAGGGCAAGGTGGTACAAATCCTGATGGACAACACTGCCATGATGTTTTACATCAACTAGCAAGGTGGGTCCCGATCGTCAGCCCTCTGCCAAGAAGCTCTCTGTCTCTGGGACTTCTGTGTGCAGCATGCCATTCATCTTGTGGCCGCGGGCCAGGAAAGTGTTAGCAGATCTTTCTCTTCTCGCCACAAATGGTCACTCCATCCAGGGGTATTCAGTGCAATCTTCCAAAAATGGGAGACTCCTCAGGTGGACTTGTTCATGTCCCGACAGAACAGGAAGTGCCTCGTGTTCTGCTCAATTCGGGGGCTCTGATGTATGCCTTCATGCCAGTGCTCTTAATCCACGGAGTCCTCATGAAGATCAAACAGGACAAGGTGAAGGTAATCCTGATAGCTCTGGCTTGGCCTCACCAGCACTGGTTTTGCACGTTGCTGGACCTTTCGGTGGCCACCCCACTGCCTCTCTGGCCGGATCTGCTGTCCCAGGACCATGGCAGTCTTCTGCACCCGAACTTGGCAGCGTTGCACCTGATGGCCTGGATGCTGCATGGTTGAAAGGTGCATGGTGCTCGGCCTTTGTCCAGCAGGTCCTGTTGGGTAGCAGAAAGCCTTCCATGAGGTTGATCTTCCTGGCCAAATGGAGAAGGTTCACGTGCTGGACCTCAGACCAGGGTATTCGGACCGAGCAGGCCTTGTTGCAGGTGATCTTGGACTGCCTTCTACGTCTCAAGCTCCAGGGCCTGCCCCTTCAATCAGTTAAGGTCCACTGGGCTGCTATTTCGGCCTTATACTCTCCATTCCAGGGCAGGTTGGTCTTTGCTCAAGGATGATGGTCTGGTTTTTGAAGGGTGTAGAACGAATCTATCCCCACATTCATGACCCTGTCCCTCCTTGGGACTCAAATCTTGTGCTGTTGTGGCTCCTGGGTCCCCCCTTCGAGCCTTTGACTTCCTGCTCCTTTTGTCTACTCTCCTAGAAGGCCTCATTCCTGGTGGCAATATCATCAGCCCGCAGAGTCTCTGAGATTAGGGTGCTCACCTCGGAGCTGCCCTTTACAAGGACAAGGTCCAGCTATGGCTGCACCTGGCTTTCCTGTCCAAGGGAGTTTCACAATTTCATACAAGCCAGGACGTATACTTAGAACATTAGACTACTTACCTATCTCCTTTCCCAAACCTTGAAAGTTGGAAGAGGAGTGCAGGTTACACTCTCTGGATATCAGGAGGGTGCCATTCCATAAGTCGATGCAGTTGTTCGTCATGGTGGTGGACAGAATGAAAGGTCTTCCAGTGTCCACCCAGAGAATTTCATCATGGATCACTGCCTGCATCCATTTCTGCTGTGATCTGGCGAAAGTGCTTCCACTGGCAATTGTAACTGCCCACTCAACCAGGGGGCAAACCTCAGCGGTGGCCTTTCTGGGCCAATTCAAGTCATCTGCAGGGTGGTCCATCCAGACGTTTGTCTCATTACACACTGACCCAGCAGGCCTAAGATGATGCTGGCTTTGGTAGAGCAGTATTGGAAGCTACACGACAGTGAACTCTGAGCTCACCTCCAGGGATACTGCTTGTGAGTCAATTAACACGGAATCGACGTGAGCAAGCACTTGAAGAAGAAAAAACGGTTACCTACCTTTTGTAACTGTTGTTCTTCAAGTGGTGTTGCTCACGTTCATTCCATTACCCACCGTCCTGCCCCTCTGTTGGAGTTGCTGGCAAGAAGGAATTGGGAGGGCGTAGGGCCAGTGGCGCTAATATACTGACTCATGAGCGTGGCACTCCAGAGGGCGCCACTGCCAACCCTGCTGATACCGCTAAGGCAAAAATCTCTGACGGTCACACATGTGGGTGCGCACACCTAGAATGGAATTGATGTGAGCAACACATCTCGAAGAACAGTTCCGAAAGGTAGGTAACCGTTTTTTTGCTGGGCAGGACAGCTGAGGGAAGGGAAGAGGAAATAGGTATATGGTTATGTGCTGTCCACAGTGTGGGCCTGGACCCGGTCAGTACTCAGTGCCTTTGCACTCTGTGTTTTTGCTCAATGGAGCAGTCATTGTTTTGGAAAGGTGCTTGTGCAGAGGCTGAATGGACAGCGTGGGCTGAGGGAGAGAGGGGCAGGGATCTTGCCCATGGAAAAGCTTCTAGCTCGCATCTGTCTACAATGGTTGCGAACAGGGTCACCCAGAACAGAAGATAGCATGGCAGTGTAGCTTACTAATAATAAATTAAAATTTAAATAGTAAATTAGTAACAAAGTAACAGGGAAACTTATATGCCGAGGTTCTCTCCACAGGATCAGTTGCCTCAGTCCTGGTTTGGGAATTGGGCTTAGTTGCTGCAGGGAGGGAATCAGGCTTGCCTTCCACGTCTCCTGCATCAAGGAGGTCTCCTAAGGTCTCTTCCAACCCTAATCTTCCATGATTCTAAGAGCCCAAGTCCCGAAGGGATCCTGGCTTTACGTGAAGCTCTTTTCACTGGCCTCCTCCTGCTCATCCCCCCATGACTCTTGCTGACCATCCTTGGGGGACAGTGGCCAGCAGGCACCACAAGCTGCCGGGGTTCAATGGTCATGGAGCTGGCAAAATCTTGTCCAGTGCCTAAAATAATGGACAGGTTACATGTCCCCTCGTCATCCCTCATTCTTGTCATTCCTCGTTTTAATGTAGGTGCTCCTGAGCTGTCTAGCACTGTCCTGCATCCTGGGCATGGCTTAGCAATGTCCTCAAAAATGTCTTCCAGTGCCTGGCCACAAGCTCGTCCTGCACCAGCGCTTCTCCCCAGATGGGAATGAAATCTGGGTCTCAGCGCAGCTCCACGCAGCAGCTCCAGGCATTTTGTAGGGCTGCTAGAATATCTTTGAAGCTATTGTGATAAACTGGAATCCAGTAGTGAATGGACAAAATCTGGCAGTGCCCCAGCTTATAAACGGGGTGACGGGACATCTGGTCAGCTTGACTTGAGAGCAGAGGAGGGCCCACAGGGAAACAGGTCAGAAACAGTCACCCACAAAGCAGAGGGGGTCAGCTGTTGGAAGACTGTCAAAGGAGTTTGAAGCACCATTTCATGCACATGAATAATAGACCAGACTAACTCGCTTTGCAGTTTGAAAGAGAACTCCAGAGCTTGTGATAAATGCAGAGCCAGTGTGCTGTGATGGATTGCGTTGCATGTAAACAAGTGGTTGCAAACTGGACTAAGTAAAAAGCTGCATATTAAACCATCTGTGTAGACAAGGCCTCTTTTGCTTCTGCTACCTCCATGTCCGTCTGTCCGGTCACTACAGTCTCCGTAACGTTTTCTTCACTGAGGTAGAAGGTGGCTCTTTCAGTAGCTTCCTGAGTGTCATGGTTTCCATTCACGCTCCATGCAGAGGCGCACAGGAGGAGGTGGGGATGCTGGAGGGTTCGGGCAGTGGAGTGGTGCGGGAGCGGGGACAGGGGCAGGAGTGGTGGACTCAGGCTGAGGAGACTGTTGGGTGATGTGCTCAGTTAGTGGTGTGTTTTGTAGGGAGTTGTTGTCAGACCTGTGCTTTGGACCTGAGGCAGCGATCCAACCATTGAGGACTCCCAAGGCCCTTTGCGTTTATGGGAACTGCCGTGGGATGTTAGCAGGAATTCTAGCAGTCTGGTGATAGACGTTTGGTAGGAGTGCTAAGGCTTGCCAGCTGGTGGAGGGCTGTTTCGGACCTGGCGGGAGGGACTCTAAATTAGCTCATTCGTGGGTTCATTCATCAAGTCTGGAGTTTCCTGGGGTGTTTGTGCAGTGGTCTGCAAAGAGTGCCCATTGTTTTTATCAGTGAGCTCCCCATGCCTGAGGACAGGACCTCGGAATGAGGGAGCAAAGCGAGGGATGAGAGGAGGTGCAATTTCCAAGTGCGAACCTTGGGGGTGGCAGCAGCTGCCCTGAGCCCAGGGTCATGACAGGGCACTTAAGAGTCGGTGCGGCGAGAGTTGTGGAGGAGTTGGAGGGAGAGTCCACTCTACACACCTCCCCGTGAATGGTCAATTTTCCTCCTGGTGAAAGGCTAATAGGTGGATGCCTGGAGTGGTGTCAGAGCCAGGATTCTGGACTCGATGGATGAACCATGAGCTTGACACAGTTTGTCAATTCCTATGTTCCCTCTAAAGGACTTCCACGCTCCTTCCCAGCCTGGGGGGTTGCAGCAGGCCCTGCACCTTCAGCATCTTTCTAGCCAGACAGGACTGGGTGAGACTCACCTTCATTCCATTATTCTGAACCTAATTAACAGAAACATGGCATGATGGGTGACCTGTGTCTCCAGGAACTCACTGTGCTGCTTCTCAGCACTGACTCTCAGCACCCGGTAACCCTAGGAGGAAGAGGCCCGCACTGGAAATAAACCAGAACATGCATTTTCTCATGGCAATCAACATCATTATTGGTAGAAATGAATGTTTTCAGGGACGTTGAGCAATGCAAAACTGCGTTTAGCTTCTTGCGCGGTTGGTAACTGATGGGACTCTCTTTGCTTGGTTTCTTGCAGTGCCTTTTAGAGAAACTCCCAGCTATACAAAGAGGAGACGGATCACTGGCGCAGGCGGCCTCTCCTCCCCCCGCATGCTGCAGCGTTCTGCCAGCGACAACAATTTGAAAGCCGAGAGCCACCCGTCCTACTCACCAGTGCCCTCGCTCCGCAGCCTGCCCCCACAGCTGCTGGCACAAATGCAGGAAGCTGCTGTTGGGGCAGGGGTGGGGGACAGTAGCCTGGCGAGCACGGGCAGCTCCCGGAGCACTCACAGCCGCTCCCCATCTCTGCAGCGCGTGCAGGAAGAGAAGGAGGCCGACATGCACACACTCAGGAGAAGCAGCCGAGGCAAGGCCAGGTAAGAGAGGGCATGGGGATGAGGGAAATAGGTCGCTTCGTGCTCACCCGGCAGCCCGCTGTGGTTCCTTGCTGAGTTTGTGAGCTCCTGTGCTGGAGTTGTGAGAGAACTGGAAGGGGCTGCAGGGTTTGTGTGCGTGGGTTGGTGCGATCTCAGCCTCAGCGAAGCTGATATTGGACCAGGCCCGTCTCCTTCAGCGGGGTTTGCTGTGACAGGTGGTGCTGGGTGTAGCTGACCTGACAAGCAGCACAGCCACCATACGTGTTGGTGTTCCTGGGAAGTCCCAGCTCCTGGAGCTAACTGGGGACCCTGCTTTGTCTCTCCATGGTTGCGGGGGAGCAGTGACATTGTCTGAGTGGGAACAGGCTGACCAGTGGAGTGTGAAGATACAGTGCAGTAACCTGGTCTCTGAGGCTCTGCATCTTCCTAACCAAGCACCTTGGAGAACAGGAGCTGTCCTGGATTCCGAAGGGGCACGTGCCCCGAGTTAATGCAGCAGGGGTTTCCTTTTCTCTCCTCCCGCCCCCACCCCAATCTATTTCCGTGCCTCAGGAACCCCTTAGTACATCAGATGCCATCGTTGACTTTGTTGTTGCTATGACAATGGAGCGTATTTTGAGGACAAAGACATTTGAGGTGGCATATTGCAAACAATCGAACATCCACTACAGCCAAACTGACTTCCTGGCAGTACTCACTCACTCCTGCCTAGACGTAGGTGCAGTCCCATTGTCCTGTAGAACCCAGCGCCAGCCTTCACCCCCTCCACCATGCCTGGGTTCGGTCCTGTTTGATGGGAACTCTGCCATCTCGCTGACGGAACAGTGGAGACCCGGGTGAGGTTGGGCAATATCCAGGCAGACAGACACTGCTAGGGTCACATGGGAAAGCTGCCAGATGCTGTAACACACGTTCTCTACTATTATTTCCCAGTCACACATTGGTCTTTCAGGGGATGATCCTCAGGTCTGACACCCACTCCTCACTGGCTGGTACTTCTCTTTGTAAAGATGCTGGTGAGGATCCTGGGAACAACAAACACATGAGCATCACCTTGGCACCAGGGAAAATGACTAAGACTGTAATTAAAGACATAAGAACAGCCATACTGGGCCACACTGACGGTCCATCTAGCCCGGTATCCTGTCTCCCACAGTGGCCAGGTGCTTCAGAGGGAATGAACAGAACAGGGCAATTTCAAGGGACGCCCCCATCATAAAGTCCCCGCTTCTGGCAGTTGGAGGTTTAGGGACCATATTGGCCAACAGTCATTTATGTATCTGTCCTCCGTGAACTTATCTAGTTCATTTTTGAACCCAGTTATACTTTGGGGCTTTACAACATCCCCTGGCAACGAGTTCCACAGCTTTACAGTGCGTTTTGTGAAGAAGTTCTTCCTTTTGTAAGTTTTAAACCTGCTGCTTATTAATAGTGTACTTGGACTTTTGGAGAGCCTTTGACCTCCATATCCGTCTGTCCAGTACATTATTTGTTTACAGTAGTTAGTAAGTTGGTGTTAAGTAGTGTTAGTTAGTAAGTTAGAGTACACTATATTGACTGGATCACCCTTGTCCAAATGCTTGTTGCTATCCTCAAAGAAATCTAATAGATTGGTGAGGTACGATTTCCCTTTACAAAAGCCATGTTGACTCTTGTCCAACAAATCATGTTCATCTTTGTGTCTAATAATTCTGTTCTTACTATAGTTTTAACTAATTTGCCTGGTACTAAAGTTAGGCTCATTGGCCTGTAATTGCCAGGATCGCCTCTGAAGCGTTTTAAAAAAATCGGCTTACCTTAGCTACCCTTCAGCCATCTGATACAAAGTCTGATTTAAATGATAGGTTATATACCGCAGTTCTTAGTTCTGCAATTTCATATTTGAGTTTCTTTAGTACTTTTGGATGAATACCTGCTGGTCCTGGTTGTGACGGGATTCCTGGGGCGCAGCCTGGGACTGTGGGACTGCTGTGCCCCCTTAACTCTCTCCAGCCTGGGCTGTCTCTCACAATGCTTTGTTAGTGACCAGCAGCAAGCCCCTCCAGGCGTTGTGATCACTCAGCACAACAGTATGTGGAGCCCCACAACTAGCTAGATGGCATGAATGCTCCCAGAGCCATTCATGAATCACACAGAAAAAGGCACCCACTAAATCCCCCCAGCTCCCAGCACTGTACCTCAGGAATGTGCCATCTTGTGCTGCTCAAGACAAGCAGTGCAGATTTATTAATTGGTTCATCACTTCATCAATGGAAAATGGGTGTACACCAGCCTTTGCAAACCTGAGCAGTTTTGCCGCACACATCCTACAAACTCACTGGTAAAGATAAACAGTTAAACAAATTTATTGACTACAAAAGATAAATTTTAAGTGATTATACATGATTGGCAAAAAGTCAGAGTTATTTGCCAAAATAAAATAAAATATAAGCACGCAGTCTAAACTCTCAACCCTATTAGACTGGGCAACATCTAGATTAAGCCGTTTTTCTCACCCCACTGGACATTGCAGTCCTTAATATACAGATTTGTCCCTTGAACCTGGGCCAGCCTCCTCTGTTGGAGTCTTCAGTCTTCTTCTGAGTGTCTTGATTGCTTGCAGCATGGGAGTGCCTGGAGAAAAACCAAGCATGGAGCCCCTGTGTTTTGTTTTATTCCCTCAGTTCCATGTGCTTGGAGAACACAAGTCCAGGCATGTCTGGGCGGCATTGCTGAGTCCCCAGGCAAGATTGAGCAGTTCCCCTGGTGTGGCTTCATGCAGGTGAGACATTGAATTATAGCTCCCTTACTGGACAATAGCTGTTGTTGGGTTGTTTGACACCCCACCTGAGCACTGGTTACTTTCCTTGCTGTTCTCTCTGGCTGATTCCCCAACTTACAACATGTTTTAGTGACAACCATACAACACAATCTCATAACTTCATGTGCACTAAAGATACACATATTTAGATAGAACAGTAACTTTCAGCTGATTTTAACCTTTTCCCTAATACCTCACATGGCCTGCTTTATAAGCAAGAGACACTGTCTCATCACACGAGAACAAGGGGACATGCAATGAAATAAAAAGGTGGTGAATTTCTAACTCATAAAAGGAAACACATTTTCAAACAGCGTGTGATTAGTCTGTGGAACTCATTGCAAGTAAGATTCAAAAAAGGATTGAATATTTATATGGGTAACAAGAATACGTGAAGTGTTATAATTAATGGAAGCATTTTCAAAATGGTCTGAAGCAACTGGTGCTGGCCGCTTCTGGAGGCAGGATGCTGGATTCTATGGACCTTGCGTCTGATCCAGTCTGGCCAGTCCTATGTTCCGGTGTAAGGCATGAAGGCCTGATGAGCAACAGGACTCAAAGGTGTAGTAAATAGAGAGGAGTTAATAGTGGGAGACTCAATGGTCTCTTCTAGACCAGTGTTAGGTAGGGTTACCATATTTTGAGTGTCCAAAAAGAGGACACTCCACAGGGCCCCGGCCCTGCCCCCAGCCCCGCCCCAACTCCACCCCTTCCCCAAAGTCATTTGATTCGCGGGAAGCCTGAAGCAGGCAGCAGGTAAGGGGGGGGGTGGAGGGAGGAGGCGCGGCCCAGTCTGTCCCCCCCCCCCAACCGAGCGGCTCCCTCTGGCCCCCAGCCTGGCCCCAGCCCCCGGGCCAGCACCCCCGGCCCCGCCGGGCCCGGCCCGGCCCCGCACCCCAGGCCAGCCCCCGGCC